GATTAGAAATATTGTTTGGTATCATTCTCTTGGGAAACCTGATAGTCTCCTTGTCAGCCAGTAGCTTGAGTGTCGTTGAAATTGTAGCCAGCATATCAGTTAGTTGTGGAGGAGTGTTGTGTTGCATCATATTAGGCTATCATGTATACATTGGTCTTAGTCGAAATCACTCCATAAGGAAACTACTGAGAAAGAAATGTTTTAACTTTCAGACAAAGGATGAGCATTATGAGTCTTTGCCTCCACTTATTGAGGAAAACAGAGAAGCAGTAAAGTATTAGCTTTGTGTCTGGATAGACTTGTAATAGTTATAATTTCACACGTAATAATAATAATATATACATTATAGCAATTTCACAAGCATTAGTACTAGATTCAGTTTATAATAAATAAACTTAATAATTATTATTATTACCTCCCTCTTTTTTCTTCCCTTTCTCTCTTTTTCCTTCAGTTTTCTTGTCATTTTTTTGTTCTTCCTCCATCTCTTTCCTCCCACCCTTTGGCTTTGTTGGTTCATTTTTTTTCTTTGTTTGTGTTTCCATTATTTTGTGCTTATAATAATAATAACTGTATTGGTTTATTTTGACTAAAATAGTTCATGAAAAAACTTGTCTTTGTACTTTTTTGATGATCTATCACTAGCCCTATATCTGAGCTGATTACCATATAAGGTGAACTGATGATCCTTTACTTTGAACTGGAACACACTGTGCGCCTTTGGAATTGCTACAAAATAAAATAAAATTATTGCTACTTTACTAGCAGCAAAAAGCAAAAATCAAATTCTCTTTCAAATCAGCTCATAATGAACTATTATCAGTGAAGAACATACTTGGCATCTTGTCTTTGTCATTAATTAGTTTGAATGTGTTCTGTGTTTCTTGTATTACAATGCCTTCAATTCCAATATGACCCTGACATCTTGATCCTACCACTACAATACAATAACACTGTGTGACTATTAGACATCATTTTACTCATTTACCTTTCAAATAACATCCATGATAGTCAGCCTTGAGGACCTTAAGAGACAGTTGCTTGCAGTTACTATAATAAAGAGATAAAAATAAGTAAAAATCAAAAGATACTATAGTATGCAGGAAAAGCAACAGCATAAATCGAAGTATTCATGAGTCTTTCAAGAATTGACACCTTCTCTTTGCTATTAAATATAATTATTTCACCTTTTAGGATGTGGTTTTAACAAGTCCAGCATGTAACTTTTCCACAGTTCATTCAATGGCTTGTATAAAGAATATCTAATAAGAAGATGAAAAGGGAGCAGGTATCATACACTACAGCTCACTTCTGCTCTAGTGTCTTTAGTCCTAATTGTTTCTTTTCTCTTGAGGTAAGTGGTTTGATTTTACCCGAACTCCCTTTACTAAGTTTTGCAGGTTTCCTTGCTGGCTCCATTACAACTGATTGGTATATCATAGTCGATTCATCGTCAGCGTATCTTTTAAGAAAGGATTCAACATAGCCTTGTGGATCACCACAGGTACTCTACAGAGAAATAATCCACCATTTAATATATTTTTTGCATAAATAGGAAAGCACAGGATTATAATACTAAAATAATTCTACAGCTAGATATATTTTTACTTTATTTTATTTTAAAAACATGCCTCTTTTAGCTCTAATTCCTCTTCCAATTCATTCCATATTTTCTCCTTTATTGGGAGGTAAGCAGCAGCCATTTTCCACCTTTATTTGAGGCGGGTCTTACAAAATGTCTGGAACTTCTAGTCAAACTTTAAGCTTCACTAAACCTTCTCCCTCTCTCCCAGCCGGGACAGGAGAAGACTACTGGTCACTAGATGACTTTATCTCCAGCAAAGAAAGGATCCCGTCCATGGTAGAAGAGAATATCTCCTTCCAGAGGCTGGGCCACATTTGTCCTCATACAAGAGAGGCCCACTTGCTATCTAAGACAAAACTGGACCTCCCACTCTGGCTTGCAAAATCCCTCAATAGAAAAGAGGTGCATAATGTCCTCATTTAAAGTAAAGGTGTATTGCAAATCATTTCTAGATGATATCCATAACGTTCCCCAAGGCTTACAAGGAGTCTATGAGGACAGCACTCTCTGCTGATCCTACTGTGATAGACCTTCATAGGAACGGTCCTTATTTCTACTCAGTCGGTCTGTCATTATTGCAGTTTAAACTGGACAAGGACAGGGACAAGGATGAAGAGGAAAAGGAACGTCTTGCAAAAACCTTAATAGAAGTATATTACCATCATTATACACCATTATCATGTTAACTAGTGCAACTCTACAATATTGATTGTTAATTTATGCCATAGACATTTGTTAGACGTCTACGAGTGATCATGGACTCCTCCCACAATTATTATTGTGCCAATACGACTAACATGACAAACCAATTGGATGAATTGGAGAAATATCTCTTCTCTCTCGGACAAGAAGTGAGTGCAGTACTTGAGAAATGTAACAGCTGCACGATTAACTTGTTAATTATGTTGTATCTATAATCTTTGTGTGTATGTTTCATTATTATTGCTTTGTGTCTAGGCTCTTACGAAACAGATTCAGTACGAGAGAGGACACAATAAGATCATCATGGCCTCTTCTCTTACCAGCAACTCAAGGAAAAGGAAACGAAACTAAACTTTAATCACAAACATCAGTTTAACATCATCATCATATGATTATAATAATAACTGCATACAGTCCACATAAATTTTAAAATCACTCAATTAAGTGGAGAGGGTTTTAAGAGAAAGCAGTAACCTGAACCACGGAACTGCTCAGTTTATCAGACGATATCTTGTTAGAGTTGACCATTAGTGTCTGAGGATTGACACATCTTATGCTGTCGTACTCAACTTCCTACAAAGCAAAACATAAAAATAAACAAAACTTGTAATACAAATATAAAAATAAGTATATTTAGATTTTGCTAAATGAATCAGGCTCCAGAGTTATCATTTGTGATGTGTGTGTGACCTTACCAGTTCAGGAATACTAATGTGGGAAAGAGTTGGTTTTGGAATTGTTAATATGTCACCGACCGCGAACTGATAGTTATGTATCAAGTTGTATAATGTCAGACCAATACTGTCACCAGCAGAATCAATGATAACACAAGCACTGAATGGAGAGAGTGAGAGAAACACAATGGTAGTATACAGTATTTTAAAAGATTAATGTGCAGCTGTGTGTAACTTACATTGGTACTCTTTCATCAGTAGTGAAAGAACTAGCCACAGCTGCTATCAATACTCCACCGTCTTCAGTCTCACTCTCTTTTCCTTCCCTCAGTTCTCTAATGCTACAGACCTTGTTCTCCTTGTTAATGGCAGCTGCTACATTCTGCTGCAGCTGGGCCAGTCTCTTTGGCTTCAGTTTTCCTTTGGTCGCAATCAAACGATTAAAGTTTTGAAGGAAGCGCTTGAGAGAGGCCAGCTTTTGATGCGGTGTAGGCCAGCCTGGGTCAAATCTTTCAGATTGCTGCAAGTGATAAAGTCCGTCATTATACTTCTCCTCATACAACTGTAACTATACATATAAATTCAGAATTAGTATAACATTAATAAAATGCATATACTAACAGTAGCCATGTTGAAATGTAAGTCTGGATTATTTAAAGCAATAGGATCCTTCTCCTTATGGGAAATATAAAAAAGAGAAGAAATGCATAAAATAGAAGCAGTGACACGTATAGTCTTGCCCCGCCCCTACGACACCTACTGCTTGGGAATAAGCTGAGGTAGCTTGTTGTAGCATCTTTGGGTCAGCAGAAACTGAGAAGAACATTGCTAGGTACGCATTTCCTAAAATCACTGAGAGAAAGAGAGAAATGAGAAATGAACAAGATGGCATACTCCATGATATCCCATCTTTAACATCAACAGAAACAGCTTGCTTAGCTTTCTCCAAACTCTCGGCTATGTTCTTCTTTTTCTCCTTTTCATCTACAAAGGAATTCTCTCAAGTAAAATACTGGAATATCCTGAGGTGTACTGACCATTTCCAAGCTGGCGCAGCACCATGGAGAGGTTCCTAAGAGATTCTTTATTAAGTTCCTATTATTTAAATAAATATTCATTACAGAGGAAAGTATATAAACGAGACAGATTTATAAAAGTTTTCGTTTAAATCAGCTCTATTATAGTACAGAGTCTTCAGTAACTTTAAAAATTCATACAAAATCCAAACTTGATCAGAATCAGCTCAAACTTTCTACACAAGATAAGAACATGTATATGTATCAGGAAACATTATAAAAATGGGGAATTCTCTCCTTTTCATTTTTGGCGAAATTTGGCCAAAATTCCTGTACTATAGTACAGGGACTTTGACCCGATTTTGGAGTAACTTTAAAAATTTATAAAAAATCCAAATTTGATTGGAATCAGCTCAAACTGGCTACACAATATAAGAACATGTATATGCATCAGAAAATGTAATAAAAATAGAGAATTCTCTCCTAGACATTTTTGGCGAAATTTCGCCAAAGTCCCTGTACTATAGTACAGGGACTTTTGCCCAATTTTGGAGCAACTTTAAAAAACTCGTAAAAAATTCAATCTTGATCAGAATCAGCTCAAACTTGCTATACAACATAAGAACGTGTATATGTATCAGGAAAACAATAAAAATGGGAGAAACTTATCTACCTACATGTACATGTACATACATGATTCAGTGCTCCGCTGAAGCAATGGTGGGCCTGAGATACATTACCAATCTTCCAATAGCTCTCTCCTAGAGCATTCCAACCATCAACCAGGAGTGGGTTCTGTTTTACCGCCTGCGACAGCAAAACCTCGGCCTCTTTTGAATGCGAGGGAAGAACATTCAACGCTTTACCACGCAAATACTGATAAAGTGGGCGTGGTATTTTACCTAACAATTATATGATGCATAAAAGAAATCGTATAGCAATGGGTGTGGTTTTTAGTGACTAATTAATAATTGAGAAAAATATCTCAAAAAGGCTCGTTACCTTCTTTAAGTGATAGCAGCTTGAGTGTTTCCTCCATTTTATTTTTGACATCAGAATCCTTTTTGGTGGCATCTTCTATCTCATGAGTTTGAAAATAGCAGCGATTGAACTGGTACAAGTCCTCAACCAAAGCCTTTATAAATAATTGATAATTTAGGCTAATTTTAATTTGCATACTTTGGCTTCTTTCTCGTTCTCTTCTTCCAAATCATTTGCTTGCCTTTCCTTATTGTCCGCCATGTTTAAAAAAGTAGGCGTGGTTATTTTCTGGGTGGGGCTCGGTTTGCAAAAGTGCTAAAAATAATGTCAACAAACCCAACAAAAAGTGAGTTTTATTTGATCATAAATCATCATTATGGTCTTACTTCAGAGAAGGTACAGTCTCCTATTAACTACGAGAAACTGCAGGAGTTGTGCTTAAGAGCAAAGAGTGAAAGGTGATCAAATCTTGCATTAAACTAATCCATTCTGTTTCATTGCAAAACAATAGTAATCCTTTGAAACATGAGGACTTCATGAAAGAGTATCCTCTCCTTTTTGTATCCTCTGAACATAAAGAACCAAGGAAAAGATCAAGCACTTTATATAGCAGTAGACTTTCAAGTAACTGTTATACTCAGTACAAATAAGACATAAACTAAAGTATCACTCTTTTAGCTGCTAACAACAAACTGCCACAAGTAGAAAGACCTCGTTCAGTATCAGCATATGGTTGGAGAAGAGCGGATCAAATCCAAGAATTAATATTGAGAAATAGATTAAGAGGAATGGCAAATGTAGGACTAAAATAGTCAGTTTAAAACTTTTGATGCATCCAATTATTATGCATGACATTCCATTTTTATAGTCCTCCTTTCAGAGATGAAGAACAAGTCAAGAGACTTTCCTCACTTCTGTTGCATTTCCCCAAACTTTTGCCGCAAAGTCTGGACCCCTTAGTAAGGGAAAAGATTGCAACTTGGATTAGTGCAGAAAGAATCACTGAAAGAAAAGGAATTTCATGTATGAAAGAACTGCATCCTATACTTATTTCACAATGCATGCATAGCCCATAGATTTACTGTGTTAACATTACATGTATTGATTCTTTGCATTCAAATTTCTAGTGCCCAGAGAAGGAGGGCTGTACATTATTTTGAAAGGACGTGTACAAGAAACACTAAAAGACTCCAACACTGGAGAATATACGACAAACATAGTTAGTTACAAAAATGTAGCAATAAATGAATGTATACTTGTATTATGATATAGCTACGCATTGGAGAAGTCTTTGGTGAAATGAAAGAGATGGCTTATCCACCAAAACTAAGGTATCAATAGCATAATGAACAAGTAAATATTACTTATCTTAATTTAATTTAATCTTATAGCTATCCAACTTATGTTGGAGAAAAGAACTCCATTGTTTTAAGGGTGACATTAAATGACCTAACTCGAGCAAAAGAAGTAAGATGATAACCATTTTACTGTTTTTTGATTCATTGTGCTTTTTAGATGATAAAAGAAAGACAGCTGCATGTACATCTTCAATTTATTGAGACTAGTCCACTTCTGAAAACCTTTCCACTGCACATTCGCCAAAAACTTGCTATGAATATTCAGTGGAAGGAAATTCCAGCAAAAACAAGTTAGACTTCATAGCAGGAATCATGATTAAATTTAACACATTCACACTTGCAATTGTATACAGAGGTCTTAATAGAAGGCGAGCCAATTGTGCATTTGAGCGTCATTAAAGAAGGAAGGTGTAAAGTAACAAAAAGCACAACATGTTTGGCATTGGAAAAAGTATAAGGAAAAGAATGATTAATGCAAGGAAAGTATGTCATCATGATAGGTTTGTATTGGTGAGATTGGAGAGGGTGCATGCATTGGGGAATTAGTCATTGAAGGCTGTGAGATATCACCTTATACTGTCATATCAGTTGCTCCATTGCATGTTGGACAGATAACAGTCCAATGCATCAGAGGTTAGTCAATTTTATGATGATACTGCCATTTAAATCTACTAAATGCTTTATAGCTTTAGCAATGCAAGAATTACTGACTTCTGAGCAGCGATACTCTATTAATCTTCCATCAGAGGTAAGTGCATTTTGATAAATGATACTTTTAAACAGTTAGTGAATGCAATTGACGAGTCTTTGTTATTATTTTTAGGAGATCCTGCAGAAAATGTATGCAGAGAAGCAAATGAACAAGCAGTGGAACTCTTTAAAGGTATTAATTGAAATAATTGTATTGTTTTACTGTGTCATGTGATAGAAAACTATAATTGATGAAGTGTACAAGGAGAAACAGGGAGCAAGAACTAAAAGTGCTTTCAGTTGATAAAAATTTGTTAATAATTAATTATTTAATGGTCAATTAATTAATAAATGCTCTTACTGCGCATGCTCATTCTAAAATTCCACTGTTCCAGAGCTCACGTGTATCACTTTAAAATGGAGATCAGCACCTCGAGTGGTGCCGACAGATCTAAGATTTATGACAGAGACGGGACGAACACGTCCTCTGATGACCCCGAGATGATGCAGTCACGTATATTTATTGGAAATCTGAAGACCAATAAAGTAAAGATGCCTGTACTGGGGTTAATAATAGTAATGATAATGTATAATAAATATTGGTAGGTTACTCGTAAAAGTATTGAGAACCGGTTTTCGAAGTATGGTAAAATCCTTGGGGTCTCGTTACACAAGAGCTATGGGTTCGTCCAGTTTGAGACTAGGGATATAGCAAGGAAGGCAGTGAATGAAGAGAATAAGCAAGAGCTTCATGGAGTGAAAATGGGTACGACCCTACTAATTATATTAATTAAGAATACTCTAATTATGTTATAGATATATGCATAGCCACAGAGAGACGGAAGCCTGAAGAAAAGAGTGCTTTAAAGAAACGAGGTCGGTCCCGCTCCCCTCGGTCCTCCCGCTCAAGACGTGAGCGTAGGTCTCGTGATGATGACCTGATGGGACGTTACAACCGGTACTCCCCGCCCTCTAGAATGAGGGGACCTCTTCTTGACCCGTACAGGTAGACTGTGAGATGATGTTATTAAATTGAGTTGACATATTGCAAAATTTATGACTACATTAGTCAAAATTCCCTTGGGATTTGTTAAATTTGTGCTTCAGAAAAATTAAATTTTTGATTAATATTAAGCATCTCTTACCCATCTTGATGTTATACACATCTGTAGCTGACATATAGTATGCATGTGCTATCATTTTGTGTCCTTTTCTTATACAGGGACCCTTACATGGATCCATATATTGATGATCCTTATGATCCTTACCCTCCTCCAAGAGATATGTACGATCGGTTCCTTCCTTCTATGAGGCGAGACTATCTCTCTCCTCCCCCTCCTCCTTTTATGTCAGGAGATTACCCTCTCCCTCCGAGGAAGAGAAGAGATAGGTTAGACATTACATAATGTCCTCATTATGACCCTGTCCCTCTTATATTTCCCAGTGAAGCATGCTTCTTGAATTTGGCAAGCCTTATATGGGCATATGGCTTTTTGAGTAATTTTTAAAATTCATAAAAAATCCAAATTTGATTGGAATGAGCTCAAACTTTATATGCAACATAAGAACATGTATATGTATCAGGAAAAATTATAAAAATGGAGAATTCTCTCCTAGTCATTTTTGGTGAAATTTGGCCAAAATCCCTGTACTATAGTACAGGGACTTTGACCCGATTTTGGAGCAACTTTAAAAATTTGTAAAAAAATCCAAATTTGATTGGAATCAGCTCAAACTTTCTACACAGCATAAGAACATGTATGTGTATCAGGAAACATTATAAAAATGAAGAATTTTCTCTTAGCCATTTTTGGCGAAATACCCTGTACTATAGTACAGGCTCTTTGACCAGATTTTGGACGGACTTTAAAAGTTTGCTCTCTTCATTAGGTACATGTATGATGAGCCGTGGGACTATCCTCCTCCTCCTTTCAGAGAGAGAGACCTTCCTCCAAGGGAAAGGGACCTCCCTCCTAAGAGAGACCTGCCACCAAGAGAGCGAGCGTTGCTCCCTCCTCCTCCTCCTCTGAGGGAAAGAGAGGTTCCTCCTTTTAGAGAGAGGGACCTCCCTCACAGAGAAGGGCTTCCGCCGCGTCGTGGTGAAGACACAAAGCCATCTTTTGCTCCTCCCTCTGGTGATAAGAGTGTCCCTGAGGCTCAGATTATAATAGTTAATACTCATCAGAAGTAAGTGCATGTGTATATCTAGCCTCAACGTCTCCTTTTCTTTCGCTGATCTCATGAAATCTTTTACCAATTACATGCTTTGCGAATATGTACATGTATGTTACGTGATTATAGTGCATTGTTTTATAATTACAATATAGCAACGACATCATTATGAAAATTTTACTTTTTCAAATAACATTTTTACTGCACTACAAGAATGTATTATAGCTAGCTATTGTGCCTTTTTTTTTAACTGAATTTTTCTCATGGAAAGATGAATGCATATCTTTGTAAAGAATATCTTTTAGAGGCCTTTATTTTATGTTTTTTTTTTCACAAAAATTCCATTCTATTTTTTGTTAAAAGTCTTTAATCATTTTTAACAAGTTTGGTGTGTGCCTCACTTGTAGGGAATACGCTCAACTTGTCCGTGAGCGTATTGAGTCTCTTGGTCTCTCAGTGGAACCCCTTCACCTGAGTCCCACAGTATCACTGGCCGAGGCACTGGAGAACGCTGCAAGACGTGGTCTAATGTATACTGTCATCATAACGAGTCAACATGAGGCTCATCGCTCTGTCACTCTTACTATTCTACACGGGAGGAATCCACAAGGTTTTTACAAATGACAGGGTCCATTTTTCATTTTTTTTTTTAACTCCGCCTGTGCACTTTTTTGTGCACTTTTCAGCAGTGGGAAGGAGTGATGGTGATTTACCACTTTTAATTATAATTTCACACTTTTTTGGCAGCATTAAACTTTTCATTATATTTGTAATGTGAACAAAACTTTTTTTGTTTATAGCTTGAATTTTTTGAAGCCCAAAGTTTTTCAAATCTTAACAAAACTATATCAAAAAAGAAAGGACATCATTAAGTTATCATTAAGTTATATTCGTTAAATAACGAAATCTCCAAGTTGTGTCTAATTGCAATATTTACCTTAAAATGGGCCACAAAATTTTCTACCTAAGGCCTTTATGATTTTCCATACAAAGTCTGTCCTACGTAATGTCCTTCTTGAGTCCATAAATATTTAAATTATATTTATTGGTTTAATTTACTGCTAGAACACAAGAATATGCCTCTGGATGATGCGATTGGTTTGATCAACAGAGACTACAGTAGGCACTGTCAGAGCAGTGGTATCAACCCAAGAGGAGGGGAGTCCCTTGGAGGGGGCGGGGCCTCACTGATGGCTAAAGCAGCTGCTGGACACAACCTCTCCCCAGCCGAATTGAGCCAACTCATTTCATCATTGCAGCAGAAACAGCAGAGGGTAGGCGGGGCAGGAAGCATGGCTCAGAGACGAGATGGTCAGTACAATAACTGTATTGGTTTAATGCTTGTGTTAAGTGTTATGTTAATGACTTTATTCTTTCAGGCTTTCTCTCTTCCTTAGATACAATGGCTCCTCCTGCTGCTAATTCAAATGACATGCAACAGCAGCAGGCTGACCTTCAAGCTAAGATACTCTCTCTGTTGGGATCCAATGCCGTAGTACCTTCTGGTGGTGCTCCTGCCTCAAAGCCTCTTGGAGGAGTGGCGTCTCTTTTTGAGAGCTCAAGGTTTCCACAGAGTTCCTTTGGGGCCTCATCATTTCGCTAGAAGAGAGAGAGGGAGGAGCTGAAACAATGAATTCATTTTGTGACTCATTTGTCTATTATCTTATACCTGTAACTGTAACATTGGTCATTTTAATTTTATGGTGTGATTTTACAATTTTTGAGTTTTTCACCATAAAATCCTTGATTGTGTTTGCGTTCTAATTAATGCACACCACCAATATATTGTACACGTGAGGAAGTATGCTCGTCTTGTCTCTTCACAGAGTTCATCAGCTCGGAAGAATAAGACCTTATCGCACTCTGATAGCTTTATCTTCAGCCCCTCGGCTCCCTTGTAATGGTTCCGGCGCCACTGGACACCAGAGACTATTACACTTGTCTTCGGGTCGTTTCTCCTCTGAAGCAGTTGGTGGTAATCCCGCCTCGACCTCAGTACTATCATCAGTAGCTCACGCTGACGGGATAACAGAGACTTCTGCTAGAGCAAAATGGGCAGCAGATGCCAGCAGTATAGAGGAACCTCTGACCACGCCCATTGACATAGCAGGAACTCTTCCCCCTCAAGGGGAGCTAGCCAGTATAGGCCTGGGTGGGTATACTCCAGTGGGACTCGTTCAAAACTGTCTCGACTGGATACATTTGAACACCGGGCTCCCCTGGTGGGCCTCTATCGTCGTTGGTACTGTTATTCTAAGAAGCCTTATGTTGCCACTGGTCATCAAGCTGCAAGTGAATGCAGCTAGGTTGAATCAGATAAGACCTGAAACTGATGTTATAATGGCCAGGATGAAGGAATACCAGCAGATGGGAAATACGATACTCGCTGCTCAGGAGAATGCACGACTCCTGATGCTCTATCGCAAGCACAACTGTAACCCTGTCAAGATGATGATCATGCCTTTTCTACAGGTAAGCCTCTCGTTATTATTATTAATTTATTTATTTTTTATTTTAAGTTCCCAGTCTTTATTTCGTTCTTTATTGCTTTGCGTCGAATGGCACAAGCTCCTATAGAGTCAATGAAAGATGGCGGATTGTTTTGGTTCACTGATCTAACTCTCCCTGATCCTTACTATATACTACCAATAACCTCTTCTTTATTGTTCATGGCTAATATTGAGGTTATTATTATTATTATTGTTGTTATTATTTTTGTTATTATTAGTTAGGAGGTGAGGCAGGTGTCACTAATCCTCAGATGGAGAAGATGAAGTTGTTCTTCAGGATAATGTCTGTCGCTTTGGTGCCATTAACTGCCACCTTTCCAACTGTATGTCACCAACAATTTATAATACTAACAAGATTTATTTTGCATTTTAAAATAATAATTATTAAAATCTCCTCCTTCCAGGCTTTATTCATGTACTGGATAACAGCCTCCTTCTACTCAATGGGGCAGATATTAGTCCTTAAAGTCCCTGCCGTTCGTACAAGACTGGGCATACCCAACATTGTCAATGATCCATTTGCTACAGACAACTCTTTATTCAAGACAGAGGATAAAACTAGTACAACTAGTCAAAAGAAAAAGCCTTCTGAAGGAATGGTATCTTCCATTAGAAAAAGTAAGTACATGTATATAGAACCTGTTTTTATTATAGGAGAATCAATTGATTCTAAAGAATGTATTTGTCCCTAATAAAATGTAATGGTGACTAGGGTCTTTGGCAGATTATTTAGAAGTTTTTGCTGGATCAATTTATTATTATTATAGAGTTGGTCAAATGTCGAGCTGTTTACATCAGGAAATGTTTGATACTATCATTGTTATTCTGTATGTCTATGTAGGTATGAAGCAGTCCTCACTGATTGCTGAAGCAAAACAGAAGACTCATGTAGCAAAGAAGAAATACAACAAGCAACTGAAGGACAAGAACCCAAAACTGTATGACAAGCCACCTCATAAAAGATAAACAGCAATGACTGTGTATGTTTTATGTATTACATTAATTGTTGTCCATTATTTTGAAAGATGGCATTATAGCTAACCTTTACTTCCTGTGTCATTGATGTTGTATAGAGTGTGTGATAGTATGTAGATTCCTGCATTATTAAAAGTTATCAAATTTTTAATTTATAAACATCAAAAAGCAAGATACAAAAGGTTAGCTGTCTATTAAAACATATTTAAAAAGAATAATTGTGACTTTGTTCAAATTTAGCATTAGCAATAAAGCACACATTTAATATTCAAATCCTGTGAAGTTCTTTTTGAAGGTTACTCAGAAGAGATGTGTAATCTTTATTACGAATATTGCTGTGGAATTTTCCAACTATTTCCTTCCATTTGCTTTCGTCTTCTGCGGCAAAATATAAAAACATGACAACAGAAAAATGAACACAGTTGGTCTGGCCATAATGTAGAGGAGCCGCCATTTTGAATGTGAGCCCAATAAAACTTTCCATTTTTCTGATAACATCACCAGCAAACCTGTTTGTTGTCCATGTGTCACCAGCAACAACTGGAGAAAAGGAATAATTGATGCGAGTACCAAATGCCGTAGCCATGTCTTCATAAATATCAGTGAGATCATTAGCAAAGCTCAAATATATTCTATACTTTTCATCGTCATCTGCAACACCATGCATAACACAGTATTTGTACTGTTTAGTTTTACCATTGTTAAATTTTAATGTGATATCATTGTGAAAGCCAATTCCAGTGTGAATCCAATCATTTTTTTCTAGCAGGACTCCAATCCATATTATTTTAGAAGGACGAGGAACTGATACCCTTTTACCATTGAATTTTGCAGCCATTATTCCATCTGCTTCAAATTGGCCTCTTCTGCTCATAATATCTCGATCTACTTGAAGCATCACTGATGTGTCTTCCTTTTTAGATTCAGTTGATACAGTATCACCCATTGCTTCTGTTTGTTGCTGATTGTTTGCCCGACGCTTCTACTAAAGCTATGATAGTAATGCTCGTATATTTAGGAGTAACACAACTCAGCTTTTGGCATGCTAACTTGTGTACCTTTGGTGCATGTGAGTTGTTTCTAGTAAACAATTTTTACAATTATTGAATTCTTACGATCTGCCTCATTCAGTATAAGTTACCTCAGGCATCATTACATCAATAAGGCTGATGCATAGTAGAAATATTGATGACATTGTTTTAGTATTAGTATATATAGTTGAAATGCTGGCATAGTAAGTTTTCCAAAGCTTCACTTTTATGTTGATCTCATTTACACATGTAAACACTTGTAGATGTACCAGATATGAGACGCTTAAGATTATATTATATTAATGAATTACAAGCAGTGTCCCAAATACACACTGTCGTACAGGAGATTGCTTATAATCCTTGCAACAAGAGTTTTAGTCAGTTTATTCTGTTAAGTAGGTGAATTATTGAGGATAAAAACTAAGTAGCTGTTACTCCCTTATAAGGAAGGTAAGGCAGATTTCCAATTCTACTCTTGTTGCAAACTGAGATAGTAGAATCTCCTCTAATACAGCTACAGGTATTTGCATAGACCACTATGATGCAAACTGCCAAGTAGGTGGTAATGTGACCACACAATGCAAGACACACCTCAATTTAGATAGTCCCCTCTGAAGTTCATAGATTGGTTGAATTAGTTTGCAAGGTCTGTGCAATATCCATGGTGCAATTTGCTGTACCAGCACTCACCATAATGGGTGATGGTGAGTACACATAGCACACAGCTACTTTGCCAGCAAAAATCGAATGAATTGCCAAAATGCCTTGATGGCGCGGCGTACTTCCTCTCTAGCTCTCATGTGATCGCTACACGTATGTTGTTATTATTATTATTATTGTCTGCTGCCTCTAGCTCGAGAAGGTGCAGCTACCATGGATTTTATTGCTAATATTTTTGGCTTCAGTAGACAAGATAAAGTTCTTGAGGAGGTGTCACTTCGTGGGATTGCTACTTACATACAGAAATTAAATGGTGAGTCTCCACTAATAATTATTATTAATAATCATGAACCATGATAGGCAAAAAGAGCATTATTGTAATGACAGGAGCAGGAATATCAACAGGTTAGCTAATTTAATGGGTGACCAATCTCAACCAATCTATGTTTAGCTGCAGGCATTCCTGATTTCCGTACACCTGGGACTGGCCTTTATGACAACCTACAGCAGTACAACTTACCTAGTCCAAAGGCCATCTTCACCCTATCTTACTTTCGAGTATGCATATATGTACACATGGCATTCACTTTTTGTTGCTCTGTCTCTTCTGTGCTTTTTAGTACCATCCTGAACCATTTTTT